GGCATTTCAACAGGGAGCAGCAATAGGAACCCTACTCAGAGAAGCAGTCGAGATCTTGGCTTCATGCGTTTAAGGTCGCTTATTCAAGCCGGCAACGCACTCCGGATAACTAGTGGACCGAGTAAACTGTATATCGGATTGCTCTACAAATCAGCACTGTCATTCAAGCTTACTCAGTATGGGAGATAATTGATCAAATCAAATCAAAAAGCAGCGAATGAGTAATTTGTGATTTGCGCAACCCAACTCTCTGATCGAGGTGTTGATATCTTTTCCTAAGGTTTCAGACTGTTTTGTCTTCTTAATCATCACCTACTCTGTCATAAGCCAACCCTTTCAACCGTTCAGCAACATTCCGTGTGTGATGAAAAAGTATTTCGCCTGCTGTGATCGTGTGCATTTGTTACTCAAGATACAAAATAGTCTCCCCGGATAGTAGTAGTAGTGGTGGTGGTGGTTTGAGTGCATTTTCTTGCCCTCGCATCATACATCCCTCCTCCCGCTCCCGCTCTCTCTCTCGTTGACCATCCGTTCTTGAGCATAGGCAACTGGTCTACTATCCCGGTGAATGTTTCTGAGATNGGTGCAACTTCTGTGCGGGTGTCGTGGGTCCAACGAGATTTGTCAGGTATAACTTACGAAGAGGCAGAACCGGTGCTAATTTTTCTTCTCTATCGTCAAATGTGAGTAAGGTTCGTTTAACTGTCATCGATTTGTGCGCGTTTCTTTCCTGTTCACTCTCCATTCATTGGTCGGTTTCCTAACTGGCAACGTGTGAAGAATATGTGGATTGTCTTTTCTATCATGTTGTTGGCATATTCGATGTGATGCGGGTTGTGTGTTGCTTTAAACTGGTCATCCGCCAGGGTCAGCAAACTCGTTGGCGTCACTGCTGATTTGCTCTATGCCTGTTGACTTCAAAGCATATCAACAAGAAGGCATAATTGCATGCATGTCGATGCGTGCAGTTTCCTTGATGTCCTGAGTAACATTTTTCATTCTTGTTGTTGTTGTTGTTGCCGTCGAGGATGACCGGACCACCATTGGTGTCATTGCGGAATTTTATCACCTCTTTTGGTACCGAGTGATCTATCCAATTTTCTTTGTGTCCTCGTTGCTCAGTT